GTATAGATATAGATATATATATATATATATATATGTATGTATGTATATATGTATGTATGTATATATAGACATTACTGAGCAACGCATTTACAATGAAGATACATTTAGACATTACTAAGCAACAAACTTACAATGGAGATACATATAGACATTACTAAAGTACCACACTTACAATAGAGATACATATAGTCGTTGCTAAGCACACACTTACAGTGGGAATACCCACATTCGGGTCAGTGAACCAGTCGACTGTGTCGCTGAGCACACCGTCCAAGTCGTACTGTAGTGCCCTGTCGCCCTCACTGGGATGGGCCCAGCCCTCCATGTTGCACCCCTGCATGCCAATCGGAATGAAGTCAGCCATTGCGACGTGTCTGTGTCAAGCGGACTATCAAATAGACTAGTTATGAATCAAATGTACTGATTATAAATCAAATGCACAGGGACTAAGATGTATTGCATGGAGCTGTTCACTGTGGTGAGAAGGTGTGTGTGTTGGCACTCTCTTGATGGAGAAAGACTTCAGGCCAAGGGTTGCGGGTTTAGGGTTTAGGGTTTAGGGTTTTTCCATATTTGTATACATACATATGATGCTTACAAATATCTGTGGCATTTGTGGCGGTATCTGATTCTGCAAATAGTTGATGAGTCTCGAGTGTCTTTAGTGGGGTTGAGCACAGCGTAGACTGCAACCAGTCAACAGTTAATAGCACATCAGAGGTGCATATGATATATGATCTTCGCATAGCAGGTGCATATGATATATGATCTTCGCATAGCAGGTGCATATGATATATGATCTTCGCATAGCAGGTGCATATGATATATGATCTTAGCATAGCAGGTGCATATGATATATGATCTTAGCATAGCAGGTGCATATGATATATGATCTTAGCATAGCAGGTGCATATGATATATGATCTTAGCATAGCAGGTGCATATGATATATGATCTGAGCATAGCAGGTGCATATGATATATGATCTTAGCATAGCAGGTGCATATGATATATGATCTTAGCATAGCAGGAGCATATGATATATGATCTTAGCATAGCAGGTGCATATGATATATGAGCTGAGTATAGCGATACCAGGGGCACATTGAAGAGACAGGGATGCGTATGGCAGTGTGTGACTATTGTTAGTTGGGTTAGTCGCGTGCGATTGAGTTAGTAGTCGATATGCCTAGTGGGCTTGGTGACAGGGTTCTTCGCAGCAGCTCACTGTTGTCATAGTAACAGATGGTGACGTGCAGCCACCCAACTCTCGAGTAACCAACTCATAGCTGTTGAGACCACCGCACAACTGCAGCCATACACACAACAACAACACACAACTACACACAACTACACAACCAACAAAAGCCAGTGCCATCTGTACACGTGCTCATATAGCCCCCCCTCCCCTCCCCCGCACACGCTACCTTGGCCCATCATCACATAGACACTATGCCGAGCAACGCTCACATGCAGCTGCTTGACCGCATCTTGCAGTCCATTAACACCGGTCGCATGCATGGCTCAGGTGGGCCTAGGGGACACTTCGACGCCCCATCAGACGCACAAGCACACGCACACGCACAAACACAGACACAGACACCGACACAGACACCCCCACAGCCAGAGGGGTGTTTCTGCGAACCACCACCCGGGCTACACCCGAGTGAGCGCAAACCCAAAACTCGCCTGCAGTTCCATATCCCCATGTTTGTATGGAACTGGCCGGTGCTTCGAGCTGTGCCGCGGCTGTTGACTCATATGTTGGGTCCGTTTGTGCTGCCGTTCATGTCGGCGGGTGTGGTTGTGTGGGCCAGGCGGCTGACAAAGCGACTGATAGGCGACGCTCCAGCGACTGCTGCTAATGTCGTGCATGAAGGTGGGGCTAATATGATGATGTATGTGTATATACATATCATTGTATATATATATATATATATATATATATATATGTGTGTGTGTGTGTGTGTGTGTGTGTGTGTATTATTGGTTAATAAAATGTATTTAGGCATGGATGTATGTATGTGTATATACGTATTATTGCGCGTGTAGGGATAAATCAGTTGTAACCATTTTGCTTACAATAGTATACACACATTCATACACACAAATTATAAAACACCTGTATATATAGGGGTTTTCAGAGACAATGCTATCCAATTGACTATAATATATATATATATATATATATATATATATATATATATATATATATATATATATATATATATATATATNTA